AATTTTAAGGCCTCATACAATATGGCTTAAGAAAGTTTATTTGAGTTTTTTAAGCATTTAACAATTTCAAATTTAAACCGAATATCGAAAGCTGAAAATCAATAGATCAATAAGTCACATTATTAATTGTGACGGAAGACAATCCCCTGTCCTCCTCTATCGTAAATCAATTTGTGAATTCTTATAATATTATATGTATAGTAATTAAGAATAGCAATTCATCTCGGACCCTGAGGCGAAATATCGGTACGCTTGTAACTCTTTCTCACAGTTGATTCAAAAATTGTCTTATCGGCTCTCACTAACAGCGTCTAATTTAATTACAAGATCAATAATAATGAACTTCAAACACTACTAACGAACAAACTAACCGTTTGACTTCGCACGATCTGGATCCGTGGATTAGAGAATTATGACGCTAATAACAAAGTGGTTAAGAACTAGTATTGTTTGAGAGAGAAGTGTAAAAATTTCATAAGGTCTCTCATAAGAAGATTAAATACTGTTTGATTTTGTCTGTTAAAAGGATAACATACAATCTCTACAGACATGTCTTTTTTTTTAAAAAAAAAAAAAAAAAAAAAAACCCCCCCCAAAAAAAAAAACGGGGGGACACCCCAGAAAAAAAATTTTTTTTTGGGGGGGGGGGCCCAAAAAAATTTTTTTTTCCCCCTATTTTTAATTTTTTTAAAAAAAAAAAAATTTAAAAGGACTTTCAACAGTTTAAAACCCAAAAAATATGGGTTAACTTAATATTAAAATATTCTAACTACGGCCCGACATTTCGGATGCTTTTCAGTGGCGGTGGTCACGGGGGGGACTGAAGACGGAGAGTACTCCTAATGTCGAGCGAACCGTAGTTGATTTATATTTTTTTGTAATGCTGTATTTTTTTATGTATTTAAGAACTAGGAATATATTTTATTCCTATAATTTAGCTCTTGTATCAGCGTTCCACATTTTTTAATCGTAAAAGAATTACCAAGCGGTCAAGCAATATAAACAGAACTATTTGTTCTTTGATAATGTTCATTAAATGAGGGTCTCTAAATATTTGCCGCCTAATTTCTGCTATTTGGGACGTTTAATTGGCTCGAATGCCCTCAATACTTACAGGCAGTGTATAATTTAACTTTACAATTACATTATGTATAAAATATTTCATAAAATTGATGATACAGGCAGTCGATCATACTAGCAACAGTGTACTGTGTAATACTTTTTTAGTAAAACAATTAAATTTAAAAATACAGACCTATACCAAGTCTGTTTTCGGACTATCTAGAAGTCATTTATGCAGTAGGAATAGGGAAAGATAAATATCTTTACCAACGCTGTACACACCACAGATATAATGAAGTACTTATCTGATCTTTTTTACAACTTAAACATGTGAAGAAGAATAAAAATTCATGACTAACCTATTTTCAATATATGTATTTAAAATTGAATATAATATATGAACTTAGTTATTACTTTCAAGTGGAGTTAATGAAAATTAACGCTATTGTTTTTTGCTGTCCAAAACATAGTATCATTAAATTAACTTTTCTATTGTCAGTCGTTTTATTATTTCCATTTTCGCTACCAATAATAACAATAACACAAACTTATGGAACACGGTAGCTCAATTGGTTAAAGAACATTACGGAACGCTGCGGATGCCGGTTCAAGTCCTGTCCTTGTCGGAAATGTTTTTTCAATTTAAAATGGTTTTGTAAATTTATTTAAAATGTACCTGTTTGTTTCGATTTAAAAAATATCCCGCGTATAATATGCCCCGTATAATGCAGAAGGCTATTTTTAAAAGATATAATTTAAGTTAATTGTTATAAAGGTCACTAAAATTGTTTCAAAGATAACATCTATTGTAATAACTAAACTGAACTAACCATCATCATTATTTCTTGCGCAAAGCTAACCTCTCTGTAGATTCTGCGATAACTTCGCTTTATAAAAATGCTAAAAATATATTTAAATTCGTTTTGTACTTGATTCCATTTATCTTGTAGGTACGTTCAGCTAGGAAATATCAAAATGGTGTACTTTAGAATATAGGTCTTAGTTAAGAATTCTTATCATTCGACTGTGATACACGTAATATTTCAATCTGTAGTAATATTATGAAGCTGAAGAGTTTGTTTGAACGCGCTAATATAAGGAACTTCTGGTTCGCATTAAAAATTATTTTTGTGTTGGTTAGACCAAAAAAATCGGGAAGATTATTCACGTTTGAATATTTTAAGAATTTTCCCGACAGTATATGTCTATCTTTAAAGATTAACTCACAAGAACCGTTTGTATGGAAATCAGATTCGTCGATATAGTTCATGATACTTTTTTCCTTAGCACTTACATTTCTTTACATCTTACACTATACTGAATATGTATACTCATGGGGAGAAACTGCGTTATGTAACGCGTAGCGGTGCTAGTCTTATTAGTATGATTTATCAATGAATTGGTCCTTTTCGATTATTTTTTAATCTCTAAGACTTTTACATTTTAAATAAAGCAAGAAGAAATAACGACGTTCTACTTTATATACCCCCCGGGTCACGAAACACCATCACCGGATGAAAAAGCCGTCGAGTGTAATCTCGTTTCAGTTTCCGTCTGTGAATTTCCAAATATCCAAAGCCGAAATAGGTCGACGGCACATCTTATTAAAATGTTATATGGCTGGGGCCTTCCACCTTTTATTAAGTAGACTCACTATGTGTGTTTCTGTCACACACAAAATAATTTAATCAACTTCATATCGATTTAATGACTAACCGTTAACAGCTCTGTGTGCAACATCAGTACAAAGCAGTATTTAAATCTAGGGCACACTTACCTACCTCAAAGTCCAATTGTGATACATTAAAAACATACATTATACACAAAGATATCATATTTCGAGTAAATGATTCACTAGACCAAGGATAACTCCATGCTGAATCGACAAAATTACTTGACTAACACTTACACCTTGCTTAGCTTGCGAATTAAGTAATGTTATAGTAAAATTATTTCGTATAAAACAAAAACCATTATTATTCTTAATTCCGGATGTAAATTGTATTACATTTAAAGAAAACACCTTTAACCGTTTAAAACGGGGGATATGTTACCTAATTTAATTAAACGACCGCATGTTAAATAATACATTTCACGTTTTAAACCGTTAAACGGGTTTTATTAAAAAGTGTACAACTCGTGTAAACTACAAACAATAACTTTAATTACATTAGAAAATCAGATGGGTGTAAACGACGACATAGGCGAGAGGCGAACCCACGAACACCACCACATTTATATATGTATAAATGGTCCTTATCCCATCGGTGGGAATAACAGAAAAGGAAGTGTGGTGTATGACGTTCTCGTCCTAACAGCATACACTTTTTTAATTCGACACTATCCTAAAAGAATCATAATAAAACATTTTCGTTATTATTCTAGATTGACTGTCTGTTTGTTGAATTAGTTGTCTACATATATATAGATAGACATACGTGTCTAATGATTTGTATCTATCGACATTGATGACACAAGATATGACGAGTTATACGCTGCTGCATCAGCATTTGCTAACGATGATTCAATTTCCTGTATTCATTAATAATTTCTTACGACACTTTTTAATTGGTTGAATTGAATTTCGTTTATTTCTGCTTTGTGCGAGTGATAAGCAAGGGGTTTACTGATAGAATGAAATATCCCTGGTTTTAAAACATGTAATTACAATGTGCTGTAGGCAGCAGATAATGTTTAGAGACCTGGAGTCTAAAACTAAACGATCATCAGACATTGTTCGACACTGTAGGAATCGATCCCGTGACATGTTGGTTATTGGACCAATAATTTTAACATAAAAGTTACACTTTTATAGAAGATCTATTGTTACAATTATCTTTTATTTTTAAGTATTGTCTGTAACTTACGGGGGTACTATCCGCTCATATAAATAAACGATGTAACCGGTTTAAAACGCGAATATAACTCCCTTACTAATTTTTACCTGCAACCCGACTGCGTAACCACGACAGCGACAAAACTTCCGAAACTGAATTGAAAAAGTTACTTTTATTTGACCGCTTGGCAATAATAGTTATTTTTCTTCATTGTGTCATGTCCATCTCTGTCACTTCGAAAGAACTGATGTTATGTGATATTTCTGTATCTTTGCTGCGTTGTGCTATCCATGGCTTAGGATTACTATATCATGTAAGGTATCCGATATCAATAACATATAGTACCGATAGCGATACCTCTGTAATATTAATCGCAGCGGCATCCCCCCTCCAAAATCCTCCACCCGACCCCACGAGGGGCACGTCACTATTAAATAACCCCTTCTTTCCGTCAGTTAAAAATATGCACTAATTGAAATGCCAATCGAATTAAATAAATATAAAATATCCATTCGGAATTCTGTTCCAGGCTGAAAATCAATCTTTTCACGTGGAATAAAATTCCCGGTAATTACTGAATCGAGCCTTCGCTGGAATGCCAAATATTTTACGGCCGTGCCGGACCTTTGTGTCCCACCTAATGTACAGGGTGATCCATTTTGTATTTCGCAATTTAATCATTGTAAAATGGCTGCGAAGTTAACGGTAAAATAATAGGGTTACTTTTTTATGATGAGGAGGACAGGCGATATAGAAACAGAAATAACTTCTAAACGAGAGCGCTGTGGTCCTATTTTGGCGTTAAATACATTTTTTTTAAGATAATGTGTTTAATAAATAATATTATTATACGGGATTGCTTTTTTGTATTATGTCCCTAGTTGTATTCCCGTCACGACACTTGGGGGTTTCCCCTTTCTTGGTAAGAAGGGACCTGGGTTACCTACCTATAATTACCCCTAATTGTTACAATAAATGGTAATTAAAAATAAGTAACCCACATCAACGAACCACGCTGTAATACATTTGCCTAGCGTTTTGTAAGGAAGACCTAATCTTCAGACTGGTGTACTTGGGGACGATGAAGTCTTTGATTAAATCATGAAGTGGACCGAGAAATTGACCCACGCTTCACGTAAAGGAGGTATATTCCTGTTCCCCCATGGGGTATCACATTTCACTGGACGATTTTATGCACGGACTTATAAATATTATAGTTAGATTTCCGAAGGTAGGTGCTCTGTCCGACTAAAACATCGTATTGTTTTCCGAGATTCGAATCCAGGACCTTACAAGCGAAACGCAAAGCGACATGAAGGGGAACCATGCTCATATTGTTAGTCATCAATTAGAGATATGTCCAGGTAGGTAGGATAGGTATTTGTAGGTACTAATTATAACGACGAAGTATGAGAACATCTTGACCTTATCGGCTAAAGGTTCATGCGCTGGGGGTATTTTCGTCTGGTCCGTCATAAAAAGTGATCAGCTGTCGCTTTTTAATAAAAATTGCAAATGAACACCTGAGTGTCGTTCCAATCTACGACTCCATGCGGGCGGAACTGCATTTCGTTATACGTTAGCAATGAAATGGAATTATTACTTTCATCATATGAATATTATCAATGAGAATAAGGATGAATAAACGGATACGTAGATATTAACAAGTAATACGGATACGGATTTTAGACCAGCGATCGTTATCTTTGATAAGACTTATTACCAAATATGTTGAAATGTGTATATATCGTTAGGTTTTAGATATAGTGGCAGTTATCATACTGAGAAGTCTGATTTTTGTAAATCGGAAACGATCGCAGATAAAGCGGTACGCGTTCGTGAGTAGTATAGGCTGAGCGCGCAAAAACCGTGCGTCCTCTCGAGCGAACGCCGCTGGAATAGCGCGGGGCGCGAGGGGCGGCGCGGGGCGGGCGCGCGCGGGGCGAGGGCCGGCGAACAGCTGAGCGTGTATATTGACAGCACTCCGCACGCCGTCCACTCGTTAGTAACATCTCAGACGCCGCGGAGTGCGCACGTAGCCGCAAACGTTATGCTACTTACGCTCGACGACTGAACGTAAGCGGTCGACTGAAATTATGACTTTTGGACTGATCGCCGGCAAAGAAGACAGCGGCAGATTATCGGTTCTATATCGAAAATTAAGAATAGTGTCTAGATATTGGGAGGTCCACGGCGACTCCACCGCCGAGAGGCTCCCGGTGCGAAGGCCGACTTTCGGACTCTAAAAGTTCACGAAAGTTTCTCACTTGACGCTCCGTCATCCTAGTGTTGAGTGCAATAGGTGAACTGTGCTGTGTAGTTTTTATTTTTTGGGATTTTTTAGTTTTTACGGATTCGCAAAATGGTCCCGCAGCAGATCATCGTTTCGGACGGACGGTCTCTGACGCCGACCCCGAACGGAGTCGTGTTCGGCTCGCAGCTCGTCGACAAGAACTCTTCGACGCCCTACACTGACGCCACTCAGGTGAGGCTCACAGGATAGTCGAAAAATTTAATTTAGGAAATTAGGGGCGAGCGCGACCGAAGCAAAAATAACATAACTAAATTAATATCCATGCAAATACTTGCTTAAAGTAAATTCAAAATAAGGATTTTTTTTAAAGTAGTGGCAAATTTTTAAAGAACTCTCCAATAACACTCGTATTTTTATTTACAATTAAAAAACAGAATGCTAATTACTGGGCAGGCATTAGTAAATTCTCAATGAATAATAAATTATACTAGTAAAAGTTTTTATATACGAAATTACAATATTATTATACCTAAAAAACTTAAACAGTGTTTAAAACCTATGCAAGATGTAATGTATATTTAAATATTAAAATACTTTCCAAATGGTTCCTCTAGTAAATGCAACTTTAGTAATGTTTTGTACAGCTAGAGATAGGTGGACGGCAATAATAAAATAAATGCGTAGTACATTATCACTCGGGCTGAAATACGTAAAATTGTAAACATGTTTTTAACGAAGTGCGTTGTATTTCTGCGGTTCACTTTTTTGTTTATTTGTCTCAGTTTGTGGCATTAAACTGTTCTTCCTGAAACGTCTGTACTGTTGAGGAAATAAATTTTAAAGTTAATACTTTTACGAATTTATTTATGATTAATTACTAGTCTTTCTTACTACTAGTAATCATAACAAAATTCAAAATGCGTGGTAAGTATAATAATCAATAAATAATTATTACTTTAATGCCTACTGTGAGATAATCACAGTGCATAATAGCTTACAGCGTTTTATTATATATTGCGAAAACTATACGTTGAGGACTATTAAACTAGAATTATCTAGAAACTAATCAACATTTAGATTATTAGTGAAAATGTTTCGTTTTATGCCAACTCGAAAACTTTGTAAAATCGCCCAAGCTAAAAATCTTGATCTGATTTAGATATTCGTAAACTTATACCTAAGTAAATTTTTTATTAAATTGTAATTAACACACGCTTATAAAATTAATTAAATATGCGTGCAAAGAAATAGTCGTATATATTCAATCTAATGATAACATTTAATACGTAAATGTTGTCATAAATTGAGAAAATTACACGTAAACTTAAAGTTTAATTAATTAATATTAAAGATAATTTAATGTTGTGATAACATTGGGGAAAGTCTGTCACTGACGAATTATTTGATAACTTACTTGAATAAAATAGTTTTTCACAATATTCAGTCAATGCGAGTCGCGTCTAGGTGTTAATGTTAAAAATGTGTGATTCTTAACTTGTAAATTATATTTACTAAGAAGTACAATAGTTTAATTTTGTTTATTTACAAAAAAAATCTTTAATTCACCGTGACCACGTCTGCATCCGAAACGTTGAACCGTAGTTAAGAAATAAATAAAAATGGACTAACTCATTTCGCGTTTTAAATCGTTAAAAGTATTTTATTTTAAAAGACTTGTAATATTAATTTGAACTTATAATGTAAATTCGTTTCATGCATTTTAGTATTTTATTCTAAAAAAAATTCATATGTGAAATAAATAGTAAAATTTCTATCTATTAAATTTTGTTACTGTACGTTTGTGTGTGTCGAATGTTAGTAATCTAGTTTGTCTATGTCGAATGTTAGTAATCTAGTTTGTCTATGTCGTCTTTACTGTCGACCTAAGATCGAGCCTATAGTCAGCTTGCCAATCGACAGATTCATATAAACACGCCACTATCGCGAAGCTCATAAACAACGATATAAATCGTAAATAATATCGCACTAAGGTCTGAAAGTTGTCTAAGGTCACGCCGGGATTCGGTCGAGGATCGCGCATCGAATAGGGCCCACAACAATCGATAAGTGAATCGATTCGATTTAAAAGCGGACATCGAGCGAAACACGTAAAGCGCAGAGTGCATTAACATTTCAATGTCAACTCGTAATATTTTTAGTCATCTCTGTGCGTGTTTGGCCTTTCGCGCGCACACACACCTCGCTACTAGGAAACGCCCGTCTCGGGTCATTCGCGGCCACGATTCGTAATTCGACGTCGAAATGCATATCGATAGCTTTTTATGATAGAGGAGGAAACCCCGGTATAACATCACAACAAAATTCACGGCTCTATCTGTGAACGGTGGTTCATCCATATTAGCAGAAGTCCAAGTTTAAAAAAAATACAAATAGATTAGTAAAATTTTGGAACCGGTAAAGTAGTTGTACATTGCTACACCAACGAGCGCGTCAATATAAATCGAACGCGAACTGCCAGCATTTTTTAAAACTCATTAGAAAAAAGTATATATATAAATTAAAGCCATTAAAACCTTACCATGAACGTAGTCTATTGATTAAAAATAATGTCTAACCTAACCAAATATATACTATAATTTTATGTATTTAATACGTTTGCATCACATAGAGAAACGGAAAGAAGGCTTTTCTTCCGTCTAAGAATTGTATGCCCTGTATTTTTAGTTGGGGGGCATCGCTGCAGCGTCGGGCTGACTAAACGGTCTGCAGTCAGTGTCACTATGTAAAACGGGGGGCCTTTGACCCCGGAGTCGGCCATAAATTACAATGGCGCATTAAAAGTTTACAAGCGCAAATCGTACCCGCAATATAAGGAAACGCTTAATTAGGATTGTATCATTGTTACAATAGATTTTATAATTAAATCGATTTGAACAGTCACGAGATGATAATTGTATGTAAAGTGACGACGTTAATTACTGTCAATAAAACGATCGATAGTGGAGATAGATGTCGAGTTTTTATTGTAACTTTAGGTAGAAGTTATTGTCTACTAAATAATTACTGCTACATAAATACGTCTAAATAGTTATCGATGCAATATCATGTCTTTCCAGGATTCTAATCATCACAATATCACTCACTTTAACAAGAAATACACAAAAAATTAAACAACACAACAATAGTTTTTAACAAAATCGGTTCACTGTCAATTTGAACTCGCCACGGAGTACAAAACAGCCCCAAGGTTACGCACAGTTGTGATTGTAACGTGCCACAGAGAAGGATCAGAAAAACTATTCACGCGCGCTCATTCGCCCCGAACGCCCCTAGATGGCGCTGCGCGAATGGTTTCTCTTCGTGTCTGTCTGCTATAACCGTTACGAGTTCCACTCACGAAAGTCCTGAATTTCGGGAATTCTCATTAGCCGTGCTTTAAGTTTTTTGATTGCATCTAAAGCGCACGATAAGGCTAACCCGATCGTTCTTTCCGAGATACGACTAATTCCCCGTAAAATACGACATTGGCGCGAACAAGAAAGCGAACTGCTTTAGTAATTGGTGCTAAACTTTGCGTTTAAATATATAGTTTCACTTTAGTTTATTTGGCATTTAAATGCTTGCTTGTACTTTAATTAGCTCTGTTACTTAGACGGATAGGCAATTGATAACTATTCTATTTGTAATGATGAGTAAATAAGTTTAAATAGTATACATTTAGATATTTATTTACGGGTCATCCCGTGTCCACGGCTGCTTCAAAGTATCCGAAACGTCGGGCCGTAGTTAAAGTTATTTCTAAAATGGGTTTTATTTAAATATAACATTTTTCTAAAGAACTCCCAATAAACCACGCGTTGTACTCTTCAATCCAACTTAGTATATCTCAGATTGTAAGATAAAGAAGGGCTCGCAGATTGTCGAAAGTAACGAGTGAAATTGAAAATTGAACGAAGCGCCGCACGGCAAGACAATAAATGAAACGTTTAAGGCTGGACGCTTTCGGAATCAATTTCGTGTGAATCCTTTCCTCGAGTTTATCGCTTAAGTAAGCAAATTTATGTACCCTAATGCTGGAAATCAACGTTTGATTGTAAAATACGCTCTAACTCGTGGGTGGCGTTTTAATGGTGCCGTAGTGTTGCGGAGAACGGCTCTTGCACAAGAACTGCCTTCAAATATATTACCTGGATGATATTCAAATCTTAATTTAAGGCGAACCCCGCTAACATTTGCCCTCGACCGATTAAATCGCTACGAATTAATTGAATTGTCTAAGGTTTGTGACATGACATTTTCGGTTGCCTTGTTTTTGTCGTCGTCTGCTAGATGTCTCTCGCGACCCGCTCACGGGAAAGTCGGGCGCAATATCGCGAAACTCGACCCGTGACATGTGAAAACAGAAAGTCCAGCGAGGAACAATAAATCCGCCTCGTTCGAGTCGCCGACTGAAAATCGCAACGAACAACTTCCACACGAAACACCACAAGCGGGCCATATATCTTCCGATGCCCGCTCCGTCGCTTGATTGTAAACACGCCGGATTTTAGCAAATTAACTTGGAACTCCTTACCTTACTTACGTTGTTTTCGCACACTTCGTATAGAGCCAAGATTCGCGTTACGTAACGCGTTGTGTCCTACTGAAGCAGATATCGACGTGCTGAAATGTTTGCTTTTCAGCGAACTTTCAAGTCTGCACTATATTTTCCAAACAATTTTATGTTATTATTGCAAAGTCTGACGGAATCGTTGGAGTAATGGTAGCAATGTATGGTTCGTGATCAACAAGGTTCGATTCCCACCGGGTCTAGGTTCGACATCTTGTTGAGATGTTATATGGCTGGGGTATTTTACCTTCCATCAAGTGAATCTTGTGCTTGTCTGTCATCATCTATAATACAAAACCAAAGTTAATATTATAATATGTCGCAATGGGTGGTCCTTTCTGGCACTAATACTAATAGGTGGAAATTGTTTCAGCGTAACTGTCATTAGCTTTGTCATTGGTGATTCATATCGAACAGGAAAATCCAATGTCACGTAACACAGCTATGACCGAGCTTTTGTGAACTTCTTGAAAATATTTTAATTCACATACTCTATGTACGGTTGTTTTATAATATTGTTGAGTACTAATGGAATTTTGTTAATCCTAATTTTAGTGCGCGTAAACACCCCCAACTTTCGTTAGCAATGTATTGCTAAGAATCATCGGGTCATGGGTTCGATTTCTCAAACATCCTTCTAAACTTCCTAAAAAAAGTGACT